GGCAACGGATCGCAACCCTCAGTGTCGCGCCCGTACCGGACCGGGACCGGCAACGGGATCGCAACCCTCGACGCTGCGCCCGCACCTTGCTCAGCCAGTGAGCGGGAACCGGTCTGTATGTGGGATCCGAACCCTCGGCGGGAGCGCCGCCGTGCTCCCAAGCAGCGCACTGTAGCAGTGCGCCACCGGGCTGGCCCAAATTTTATTATTTTTAAAAAAATTTATCAATATACAATGTAGTTGATTTTCATGTCCCTTTACCAATTCCTCCTTTTCCTCCTATGTGAAAACAAATGTAAATATATTATGCAATATAATAACAATGCATAAGTGAAACAATTTTTCCTTAATCTCACCTGCATAAGTTTTTCTTGCTGTTAGTTTAATATATAAAAATGCATCTTGCTTTGTAATAACTTCTGAGGCTGAATGCTGAGAGTTACTGTTTACAAGAAAGACAGTAATTAAGGGAGTTGAAAGTGGTCATAAGGAAATGGCAAGAATCCTGAATGTGTAATTTTGTATCTTAATGGATAATTTTAGTTTTTACTAGATCATCAAACATTTCTTAAGTTAGTCAGTGAGGTGTTTAAAACTTTTATTCCTTTGCAAATAAATTGTGACCATGAAAACATTTGCTTCTATAGTAGAAGCCCCAAATATCAAAGCTTGACATAAAACTGTGACCTCAGGCAAAAAAGTGAGCATTTAAAGCACCTTATCTACTTGGTGTTGAACATATGCATGTGAAAGTTTTGGTTTCTCTTAGCAGAAAAATGTATACAAACACAAACTATCACAGTTTAGCACACTCATTTTCAGGGTCTGTCCTGGCAGTGTCCCCACGGTGCAGTCATCCCTTCCCTGATGCTAATAATTTACTGATTGAGGCTCTTGGAAATGTTTAGAGTATATTTTCCAGAACTGGTAAGGAGGTCATTAGTTTGGCCAAGGCTAGCCTCAAGCAAATGGTGAGGTCATGGAGGTATGTTGGCAATCTCTTATCACCATTGTTTTCTTCCAGTCTTCCTAGGCACCCTGGCTTCCTCTCAGTTGTTTATTCTTGCCTGATGATTGCTAAGGCTTCTCTTTGCTCCTAGCATAAAGTCTCAACTCTTTAACATAATTGGCCCTTTCTACAGCTCTGACCACTTCCTAGACCTCTTTCTCTCTGAAGTTGCTGAGGACTAAGCTCCATCTCTGTCAGTGTGCTGCTGTTTTCTCAGCACTCAAGTCCTTTCTTACCTTGAGGTTGTCATACATGAAGGGCGTTCTCTCTGCCATCATGGCTAGATCCTTCTCATCCTTTAAGGCACAGCTTATGTGTCACCTTCCCTGGATGCCCTTCCCTGCTGTCATATTTAAAGTAGCCCCTCCTTCCTCAGTCTCTCATGTTGCCCTTTATTTCCATTTGTAGCGCTTATTAAATTTCAAGGAATCTGAGACATACATCTTTTAAATTGAAATTTTGATTGTAGATAATTGTAGGTTCACATGCAGTTGCAAGAAATAATACAGAGATCCCTTATACACCTTGTAGTTTCTCCCAGTGGTAACATTTTGCAAAACTATAGTATAAGGTCGCAACCAAGATTCTGACATTAATATAATCCATTGATCTTATTTGGATTTTCCCAGTTTTCCTTGTGTGTGTGTGTTTGTGTTTGTGTTTGTGTGTGTATGTGCATTAAGTTCTATACAATTTTTCATTATCTACCACCATATGGAGGATACTGAACAGTTCTATCCGTGCAAGGATCCACTGTGTTGCTTTTTTATAACTATATCTACCTCTTTCCTCTACACCTCCTTATCCTCTCCTTCTCTCATTTCTAGCTCCAGGCAACCACCCATCTTTCCTCTTTTTAAAAAATGTTCTAATTTTGAAAATATATTCATAGAATTAGACCTTTTTTAAAAATACAACCTTTTGGGGGCTTGCCTTTTAGCTCAGTTGGTTAGAGTGTGGTGTTATAACACCAAGGTCAAAGGTTCGGATCCCTGTACCAGCTAGCTGCCAAAAAACTAAAACATAAATAAATAAATATTTTTGGGATTTGCTTTTTCACATAGTATGATTCCCTGGAGATTCATCCAAGTCGTTGGGTATATTAATTGCTTATTCCTTTTTATTGTGAGTTGTATTCAGTGGCACAGATGTACATAGTTTATTTAACCATTCACATGTTGAGGGACATCTGTGCTGATTCCAGTTTTTGGCTATAAAACTGTTATGAGCATTCTTTGTACAGAATTTTGTGTGAGCATAAGTTTTTATTTCTATGGGATAAATGAATCTCCGGAGAGTACAATAGCTAGGTCATATGGTAATTGCATGTTTTGTTTTATAAGAAACTGCCAAACAGTTTTTTAAAGTGACTGTACCATTTACTTTCCCACCAGCAATGTATGAGTTGAAAGACATACATTTTTTCGTATTTTAAAATCTCTGAAATCAGGATTCATTTCTTGGTGGCACATTAAATAATGGTTTATTTTACAATCTGTCTTCTTAGACTCTCTCATTTTGTTGATTTCATCACTTATTTGTCTCTCTTCTTACTAGAATATAAATTTTAAAAAGGCAGGGATTCTGCCTGTATTGTTCATTTTGTTTTTTCAAGGCTTTGGTACATAGAAGGTATTCAATAAATATTTGTTATATATATGAATGAGGGTGTTAATTGTTCATGTTTTGACTAAAAATGCAGCTATTCGAGCTCTTAATACTTCTTATGTGACCAGCCCCCCCAAGGTATCTGCATTTTAACAGTAGGTCCCTGAAGTACCCTAAATCTAGTTTTTTATAAGAAAGGAATAATATGCTTAAGGAGGAAGAACCTATTTAAGTTTAAGTAATTTCTTAAAATATAACAAATCAGAGAAAGATTATGGGTGGTCACTTTAAATACTTTTAAAAAGTCTTATATTTTAATAAATAATAGAAAAAATATATGTGCCTTGTAAAATATAAAGAAATGCAGATTTGAACACTGAACAAGGTGAAAAGGAACTTAAAAGAACCAAACTGAAATATAGGAAGAACTGAGTTTACATTTTCTTGATTGACATATTCGCTAAAAATAAAGGAAAAAGAAATTTATATTACTTTAATAAACTAAAATATTTTAATTTATTTTGGGGGGTGGTGTGGGGATTAACAGAAGTAGGTATGTTCAACAAGAAGTTGGTGAGTTCTCCATAAGTGAATGCTTTTTATTTTTATTTTTTATTTTTTTATTTTTGTTGCCACAAATAAAAGAATTTTATTTAAAACCTAGAGTGCCATTCCTATGGTTAGAGGCTATAGGGCTTACTACACTCTGGTCACAAAGGAGCAAGAGATAGCTCTAAAATGTTTTAGTGATGTCTCTAAAATATTTAATTAGTTCATGTAGTTTGAATAATAATTTCATTAATGAATTCCCATTTCTAACTTAACATTGTACTAATTGGAAAAAAAACATCTGGTATTGTCAAAGATAATGATAACAAGGACTTGTAGTAGCCACATTTGGAATGTGGATTTTCTTTTTTTTTTTTAATTTAATTTTATTTTGTCAATATACAATGTGGTTGATTATTGTGGCCCATTATGAAACCTCCCTGCCTCCTCCCTCTCCCATTTTTTTAAATTTAATTTTATTTTGTCAATATACAATGTGGTTGATTATTGTGGCCCATTATGAAACCTCCCTGCCTCCTCCCTCTCCCCCTCCCTCCAAACAACCTCCTATCTGTTCTCTTGTCATATCAACTTCAAGGAATTGTAATTGTTGTGTCTTCTTCCCCCCCCCCCCGTTTTTTTTTGTTTTTTTTTTTTTTCTTTTT